AAGTGTAAGATGTAGGGCCTAGTAAGTAGTAAGCTTTAACATCTGGAATGGATCAGGTCCCAATCAAAGCCCTGTCTTAATGAGTGTGTTCATGCCTTTATATTTGCTATGTATCCAAATTTGTTTTTATATAACAATTTCTAAAATCCATTTAAGTGTTAACTCTTAACTCAAAACAAATGAAATATGTTGGCACTTAGATTTAGTGCAACCAAAAGCTGAAAACAGAACTCTACCATATGGTTGTGTTTAACATGTGGTTTCCTGTGAAATGAGCTTCAGACTGATATCTCCCTCAGCTAAGTACAGACTTGATCCTGGAGACTAACTTTGGGTTAATTTGGGTGAGCAGGAGGACATACAGCCGCATCTCAAATGAGAGAATACGAGGTAAGAGATAAGATATGAAAGGAGCCATACAAGGGACTAGAAACTATTTATTTGGTTATTATCCTTTGTTCTTCATAAATATGTTTGATGATTTTATAGTCAAAATTTTAAAGTGTTCTATGCCTCATGAAACTGTGTCCCTCCAACATCATTATCAGTAGGTTAAATGTATTCTTTATCTGATATTTTTTCTAATCTGCTTTGCTAAAATCAGGGATACTTGTCTAGTTTTACCAAGAAATGTCTTCCTTCATGATTTCAAACTCCAATGTGTCACCTTCGTCTTTCCGCTCTTCTACCCCTCACTGTCATGGTCATCACCACCATCATAATCATGTTAAATTTTATTGATCACTCACTGTGAGCCAGGCACTGTGCTAAGAACATTATTGCTTTCTATCATTTCTCTTTGCATTTAGAACACAATCCGACCTCTAGCCTGGCCTTCAAGGTCCTACAGAATCTAGCTCCTGCCTATGTAACTCTTGTTTCTTTTTTCCTCTCCTACTAGGAGATTCCTATCACAGTGGTCTATTTTCAATTCTTTGAGTGGGTCAAGTTTTTTTCTCCATTCAGGCTCTAGGACCATGTTGGTGCCTCGACTGAAAATCCTCCTTCTCTTGGCTGTTTGTATTGATAACTTCTCTTCGTCTTCAGACCACATATGTGACAACCTCAGGGAGGTTACCACCAACCATTCAATCTAGAGTCCATAGCTCTATAATTTTCTGTCACAGTTCTGTTCCTTTCCTTCAAAATACTTATCCCAGTTTGAAATTATGCAGTTGTGTGTTTATTTGTTTAAGATCTATTTTCATACCTACTCCCAGGACAGTGCCTAACA